AGCCGGGAATGTTTGTATGTCTACATGCACAATAACCTCTAGACAGTTTGCATCACTAATAATCCTTCCACGCAGTATTTACTTTAAGAAATAGCATGAAAAACATCTGGGGCTTTCCTAAATCTCATCCCATGAGGTGTCTGCTGGTTTGATGTGCAGCTAAATAAAGGTTCGGTGACATGAAAGCTAGAAGAACCCCCCTTCCTTTTATAAAAAAAAAAAGAGAGAGAGACGTCTAATCTGTGGGTGTTTTATCTTCGGAGCGCAGTGTGGTTTTGGCTCCAGCCCACAGGAGGAGTGGGAGCCTCCACAGGCTCGCTGTGATTGGCTCAGACACGACTAACTCCATTTTGGAAAACAGCTGTTTGAAGACACAACCTTTTCCCCGTTGTTTGCCGACAGTACCCTGAGAAGAAAAAAAATCACGCAGGTTTTTGCCACGCACTCTCTCTTCACCAGGGGTTGTGTTTTTTATACACACCATCCTGCTTCACTTTCGGCCCACTTCGGCGCGCTGCGTTTTTTGTCCGACTGCCAGGAAACTTAACTGGAGATCCATGGTGTTAGATTTCCATTGTAACAAGTGGATAGCAGGAGGAGACCCGACCAAGGTTAGTGGCGCTCTTTGTATTGGCGATGTTGCTCTTATGGCTGCTGCTTTAAAAATGTATTATTTATTGTTGGTTTGCGTGCGTAAAAAAAAAAACAAAACAAAGAACGCTCATGTTTGGAGTGACCAGCCGCAGGGAGCTGTGGAGTCACGAAGCGAGCCTTCTACATCATGTTAGGAAGGCATTTTCCAGCCAGCGCAGCGACCAGCGTTAGACAATACATCTTGATTTGCAGAGCTGTGCGTGTCCACTGTACACACACTGCATCCAAACGGTATACACACGAACGCCTACTTCTACAAGGGCTTATTTTGTGTTGAGTTATCTTGCGGTTGTTAAAGATTTTCACATTTTTGTCTCGACAGAATGAGGCATTCAAGTGTGTCTATTATTCTGGCCGCCTGCGTGCTTTACATGCATATGTGTGTGTGTGTGTGTGTGTGTGTACAGTTTAAAGGGCTGGCATCCACGTCCCTCCCACACATTAGCTGCTGCATTCAGTGTAGCTAATGACAGACAGGATTGCTGTTGAAAGCCTTCACCTCCTCGCTCATCAACTGGGCTATTTCTACTCTGTCAATGCACCCAGATCACCCACCTCCCAGATCAACTTCGTCATCTATTTCCTTACTCAATCGAATAACGTGGGAGCGTTGACAGGAGGTTGCTTGCGAATAACCTGGCTGCTGAGTGAATTAGAAAAATCCCAGTCCAGTTTTTCTCCTTTTTAAAAAAAAATAGGAAAGAGAAAGCAGAGCTGCTTGGAGATGGTGCTCTCAAGCATCATCATCAGCATCCTGTTGGGGATCAGCTTGGGACCCCCCACTTTACAGTGTTGCTGGGCAAGTGCCAGTGTTACTGGGCATGGGCACTGGTGAAAATAAACACTGGCTTCTCGCCTGCCTGGGGTGGTTTGCTTCACTGTCTACTGCGTGACTTTAAGTAAAAGTGCTCCCTGAGCCCAGTGCACAGTAATCCAGGCATAATAATAAACCAGGGGTTGTGATTAAGTCAAAATAATACAGCACAACCAGTTGTTTTATTGTCAGAGCCCGAGTGGGTAAGCAGAGGAATGAGCTTAAACTGCAAAAGCAGTGTTTGGCCTGCACTGATTTGTCCCTTTTTTCCTCAAGGGAACTGTTGCATATCACTACTGCATTTTCCAATTTTTGGAGAGATCGAATAGTAAAGTTGTGCATTATTCCTGTTTTAATGGATTAATAGTCATAAGTAAAGGCAATCATACTACAAGATAATGCGAAGAGAACCAAAAAATCTTAACATTTCAGTTTGCAGCCAGAGAATGTTTTACAGATGATTTCAAACTATTTTATGTTGGGTAACGCTAGACACATACAAATAGTAATTATGAGATTTTTGCATTTAAGATGTTAATGTTCCTTAAAAATATCACGTCCCAAAGAACTGGGTCACCTCAAGAGTTTAAGACTAAATCCTGCACAGTCTGTAGAGACTGATGTCGCATGTGGTTTTCTTTGGATCAGCTCTCTGCTGCTTCTTCTCCTCCCTTTGTACCAGCTAACCATACATGGTCTGTTATCTATCAAAAACGCCAAGGGGGCTGGAGAACAGCCAGAACAGAGAGTGCAGTGATGCTAGGAAACCCTGCGCTACTGGAGAGACACACATGCCCTGCTGACCTTGGACAGAGCCCTGCAGAGCTCATGCATTTCAATCAAATTTACACACAAAAAAGGCATGTAGAAGAAAAGGCAGACCACTTACCATTAGGATTACACGTCCTTGTAATTTGACTGTTAGAAAGACTTGTCCTGGGAGGCCTTTTAGTGGGTTACACATCTTCCAATTTGTGACACGGGCTTTTCGGAAAGCAGTTAAATCATGAGTAATCAGGTCAGGCCGGTGCAGTTATGATTGTCTGCAGTGCTGTATGGCCAGAGCTTTCAGAACCATTCTGCTCCTTTAAAATATGCCAGTAGATAGAAATCATATCTGCCTCTGCTGAGGGCTGCCAACTATAACATGATTAGCCTGTTGTTTATTCTGTACTTGCTCCCTCTGGGCGATGTGCTCCGTAAACATAATGTGTCCTTCCACATCTTTGCCGATGATATTCAGATCTACCTCCCTCTGAGGTTGAACTGCAATGTTTCTTTGCAGTCGCTACTCTCCTGCTTGTCTGACATCAAGACTTGGATGACTCTTAACTTCTTACACCTTAATGAAAGCAAAACTGAAGTCATTGTGTTTGGGCTTCCTAAAGATCCCAACTTCTCTCTTGACTTTTTGGGACCCCTAACCTCCGATTGCACTTCTTCCATTAAGAGTCTTGGTGTTATTTTTGACAATGCTTTTAAACTTGATAAACAAATCAGCTCTGTAGTTAAGGGATCTTTTTATCATTTGCGGATTTTAGCCAAAGTCAAGTCTTACCTTTGCAGGAACGATCTAGAAAGAGTGGTCCATGCTTTTATTACTTCACGGCTAGACTACTGCAATTCCCTCTATGCTGGCCTAGATCGTTCCTGTCTACATCGCCTTCAACTGGTGCAGAACGTTGCCGCTCGCCTGTTGACCGGTTCAAAAAAAAGAGACCACATCACTCCGGTTCTCTGCTCTCTCCACTGGCTCCCAGTTGCCTTTAGGATTGATTTTAAAATCTTATTGCTGGCTTTTAAGGTTTTAAATGGCACTGCACCTTCTTACCTGTCAGAACTCCTTAGTACTTATCGCCCCAGGAGATCTTTGAGGTCAGCCGACCTGATGCTTTTAGATGTTCCCAGGTATAAATTAAAGACAAAGGGAGAGAGGGCGTTTGCTGTGGCTGCACCCAGACTGTGGAACAGTTTACCTCCTCACGTCAGACTCTCCAAAAGCCTAGAAACTTTTAAAACCGCTCTTAAAACTCACCTCTTTTCATTGGCTTTTAGAAAGGTTTAATTTATTTGTTTTATATATTTTTATTTTATTTTTATCAGCGAGGTGTTATTACGAAATTGTGTTCTATTGTATTTTTATCTGTATTTACTGTACAGCACTTTGGTCAGCCTTGGTTGTTTTTAAATGTGCTCTATAAATAAACTTGACTTGACTTGACTTGACTAGCCTAAGAACATTTAGACTCCTATATCCCTGTGCTCAGCGCCTGATTAAGCACACATGGCATGGGGTGGGATGTGTGGCTGTTTCTATCACTCTTTCCTTTTCTGTCTGGACAGCTTTGTCGTATTCCACTTGTCCGAAGGTTAAACCTGTTTTCCTGAAGATTTTTTTTATTGTTAAGACATTATGTCTTTGTGGTGCTTTAAATGGAACTCTAAAGAAGTTACATTCAAGGCTTTCCTTTGCAGTAAGGACAGGACTTTGCTCCATTTAGCTAAAGCACGTAATCTATTCTGTGATTTGGTTCAAAACGTCTGCCAGATGTCAGCCCACTGCCCAGAACCCTTCCTAACACGTTTAAGATAACAGGGACCACAAAAGCAACAGCCTGTATCTGAGTCCATAGCAGTGACTCAGTGTTTTAATACTAAGTGAACACAGTGCTCTTGGTCTATTTTTGTATGCTTCCCCCTGTATGATCACGTGTTTTAATGTGTACATATTTTGTGGGGATTTGTCAGTTCAGCTGCGCTGACCTCGAACCACATTCTTTGCCCTGTGCACGGAGGCCATAAGTGACTCTGTTTATAGCTTCCTGGCTTCCCCATGAGGAGAAAATGAGTGCATCACTCTTTTGTGTCTTGTGTGACAAACAGGAAGATGCTTCTGCCGAAGATGTCTTTCTATTATTTTGTCCTTCCACATAATCAAAGCCAAATTTCTCCTTTTTTAAAAATTGAAATTGAATTAATCACAGACTGTACCTCATTTCTTGGGCCATGGGTTAATGATGTTTATGGACACAAATCCAGCATGTGCCATTTCCCACACACAAACTAGGATTTGTAGGAGAAGAGTGCTTCAGATCAACACCCACATGGTTCATTCAATGTCATTTTCCTTTCCCGTCACTGCTCTTTTCACATTGTCGTCTGTTGCCGAGCACTTCTGAAAGTCTTATCTTGCTGGCAGTGCTAAATGAAATCATTAATTATCTTGGTAATGTTTAATAATGATGGTGGAGACAGTGCCGATGATGATTTACAGGTACATTTGATGACTCAAGCATAGATATGTTTTGTGCAATAATCTTTTCTGGCATCGTTGTATTTTTACTCAGTTGTATATAGCATTCGTATTCTATTTTTATCTTATTGTATATTTTTATTCTATTTTATTCTACTGTATATAGTATATTATTTTATTCTATTCTGTACAGCTGTGTACTGTATTTATTCTTATTGTATTCTAATTTTTGCGTCATAACTTTTGCACTGTCCACTTCCTGCTGTGACAAAACAAATTTCCCACGTGTGGGACTAATAAAGGTTATCTTATCTTATCTTATCTTATCTTAAATAGCCACAGGGTGCATAATGGTCACATGTCATAAAAGCTGTTATGGTGATGTTGGAAAACCTTGCCAATGAAGCATGGGCATAACAAAGCTGTTCACTGATGGGTCTAATGATGCCTTTTCAGTCTCAGAGATGCAAGAACTGGGGGGTGGTGGATGGGGCATTAAGACCAACAGAAACAAATACCTTGTTTACACTTAACAAAAAAAAGCCAATTGGAACACAAGTGGAAAATCACAGGACTTTGCTTTTTAGCTTTGCTTCCAGTCATGCCTGTCATGTGTGTTCAGCTCACCACTGCGCTGAGATTTTCTTACTTCAGGGCCATTTCATCTAGAAGGTTTAAGGGCCAGTTATTATTGGTCTTTGTGCCAGTCATGTGACACATTTGTTTAGCAAGAGCTAGCAGACAAATGATTAAAGAACTAATATTTATGCCATGGCTGTTCCAATGGAGCACAAAGTCAACAGCGACTTGCAAAAGAGCAAAGGGCAAGATTAAAAAAAGGACGCCCACATCCTGCATTCATGACATATTTTTCCCTTTGCTTCCTTGTAGGGACACATTAGAGTTTCACTACAAAATAAATGCAGCCAAATGCACCTCTGGAAGGAGGAAGGAGCTTCAGATTACAACTTGTGTCTTTGGTTGTTTTCTTCTGTTTGGCACGGTCTTCTTTTGATCAAATCCCCAAACATGCATTTCAAAAGCAAAGATTTACATTATCGCCTTAAGTCTGCGGTGTCGAACATAGGCTTTCAAAAAGACTTGTGCTTTTGATGCACAATTCTTTCTCAAAACTCTGAAACAAATACAGGAATTTGCCTGGCGCTAAAAGCCTTAATTGGCATTATTAAAATTTGTTTTGCTTTCAATGTACAGGCAGACTTTCAGTTTGTACAAAGGAACTGTTTGAAACCTAGCTGTCAAAAAGTTCCTTATTTATCTGTCTGATACTTTAAGAGCTTCATAATTATTCATTAGGTGCCTCCTGCTTGTACAGTAATTTAAATATTAACATTTTTGCTCATTGAATTTGGTTTCAGTCAACTCCTGAGGGAAATCTCTGGTACTTCAGCGAAATGCTTTACAAATGTTCAGCAACTGGCCCCTTAACACATCTGTCAGCTCTTTGGTGATGAGCAGTTGGTCTACTGTAGGTTTTTAGAGATTTTATTTTTTAACTGAAAATAGCTGTAGTTGCCCAGAAAGAGAATCGTGGGCGGGAACCAGAAATCGCTGTCAGTGACACCCCCCCTTCATAGTCATTGTTTTTACATTGCCATTTGATTTTTATTTTTTTTTTTAATCTAAATTACAGCCACTTTGGGGCAATTAAAATATAATTTAAAAAGCAGTGCTCTATTCCAAAATCTGTTTTATCCTTTTCTATAAAACATTACTTCCTCATAGAGTCACAAGGCATGTTGCGCCTTAAAAAATGTAGTCAGACCATTTCTGACTAACAGAAGAACAGGAAGTGGATGCTTAAGAAATCACAACCACAAATGTACAAATCTTCTCACAGCATTGCCACCGTTTGATGATGTCTCTGGACTGCGATGGAGGCTGTGTCCTTAAACAGCTTCACCAGCTTTACATGGCCTCGTTTTGCTGTTGGGCAAAAATGTCAATGATGAGTACTCGATGAGCCAACTGGCAGCTATTTTGCAGCATTATTTTTTTTTTTTAAAGAGGGTCAATGGATCTGTTTTGTTAAACCGTGTCACTGCTGAAATGTACAGTAACAGCTCTGAAAACAAACTGTCCACAGTGCAATCAAACCGCATCCAGTCAGAGTGTGTCACACTCAAGAAGCTACTGGTGAAGCAATGCTTACGTGTCTTGTGGTTTTTCATCCCAACTGAAAATTGACTCCAACAACTGAGTCCAAAGCCTTGTAAAGACTGGAAACCAGTGTGCTGGGATAGGCTGCACCTGTGCGCCTCTGTCTACCTGATACATGGCTAGAGGAAATGGTTTGATACTGCATATCTGTTGCTATTAAAAGCCCCAAAGCTATTCCCTAATGTCTCTCAACTTCCAGACTAATGACATAGTTTGGCAGGGTCGCCTTTAAAACAACACATCTGTTTTTCAGCATTAAGCCTGTTGATTTAATGTAGCAAAGCTGAGTTACACCCTCTTACTTCAGCTATGTGGGCCTACAGCACAGCAGCATCACAGATAGGTCTGAGGTGTTAAATAAACACAGTTTTAATCTGGTTGAAAGGGGACTTTTTAATCAAACCTTATTATGTAAATGGATTCCCATCCACGTGAACTGATGTGGAAGTAAAATTGATGCGTCCCTTTTTTTTGGCCCAGCAGGTCGGTGGAGCGATGATTTGATGAGAAACCCCCTTCATAGAAAAATGAAAATGTACTTTAATCATTTTAGATGGAGTGGCCTGTTTCAAATTCCATGTGATCGGAATAAAGTGCTGAAATCGTTGAACTGTTAAAATGGCGAGAAGGCAAAAATCCCCTAAAGTAAAAAGAACACCATGATCTTTGGATTTTGACAGGGAGTCAGAAGCTTGCTATCTGATTTATGCTTTTATTTGATCCACGTCAGTATTTCTAAGGCTTTGTTTGCTTTAAAATATTTTATTGTTTCTGAAAAGCTTTTCATCTGAGTCCCAGAGGAGAGGAAACAATGAGTAATGTTGATAAGAGGCTACTTGGAAAAACGTGGAAGGGAATAAAAATGGTGATCCATTAATTAATGAACCCCATTGCCAATTGTTTGTTAGAATAAAACCAAATAAGATTAATTGCTTAATACGTAGATTAATGGCCTGTCAAAAAGCGGTATATGAGGCCTGACTAGTGTCAAACTTTTACCGACAACTGTGCAAGACATTTTGTGCGACAGGTGGTCAGTACAAAAAAATAAGTAAAGTTACATTTGGCACACCTTTTAGTTCCTCTCATACTTACTGATCTCCTCCTGGGCTGCCTGCTGTAGTTCCCTTCTTGCTGTTTCTTTAATCTGTGCTTTAGAGGCATTGTGCTACATTTGGCAAATGCAAACTCAGTTGTTAATTAAGGGTTAATATATATTAAAATAAGGCAAAGAAAATTATATTAATAATAAAGGGACTGACAGTTATCGCGGACGCTGTGCTGGACTTGCACTTGTGCTGTCTCTATAAATGCTGGGAATATATCAGTCAGGTGGTGTGCTAATTATCCAAACAAGTCCAGACATCATGCACAAACTGACTCCGTCATCTCTGGCTCCCCCTCCCTTTGCGGCTTGTCAGACACACACACACGCACACACACACGCTGATGTGTTCTTTCACCTTGTTTGTACCTCTGAATAGTCCACACAGAGAAAGCTTTTCCTGCTGGAGTGCCCACAGCATCAAACACCTGGTTCACTTGGGCGCACACTGTGACTTAATGTATGTACTATGGTTTTGTCTGACACATTGTATTCTTGTGAGTTTGTGATTCAAAATTTTCTGACTACAGCCATAAACAGTGAAAATTATGAAAAATGCGTAAGAGTTACGGGAGTTATGGACATTCTGTATGAGTTGGCTCCAGAGGGATAGGTCGAGGACAAATGTTTCTGACATGTGAATATTTGCGTGGACTTATGATCACGTAATTCTCTCTGTTGTCAGACAAGCAACCTAACACGACATACAGTATTCGTATTTTAAATCGGACTAGCTTGCCTTTTTATAATTTAACAGAGGGCTTATGTTTGGCTGACTGTATTGGAATGTAATAGTATGTTTAATTTCATACAACCACTGTAATTGCCTGACTTTCACCAATAAAAGCAGGAAGGAGGCAGAATGTTTTTTTGTAACAGAGAAAATATTCTAAAATCTGTGCAAGTTTTTGCTGCAGAACATTATTACTGTGAGACCACCAACTGGTACAAGGGCCCTCTTGAAACAGTTGCTAGTTATTCTGTTACTGTTACTTTTTTTTCATGAAAGAAGCACATTTTGAGAGATTAAATTTGCTCATACAAGTTTCAGAATTGGTTAAAAAATTTGAAAAAAAGTCACTTTTTCACATTTAAAAAAAAAAAAAAAGCTTCATCATAAAGCCACTACTATACTTTATTACTGTGATATTTACTCTACAGTTTAAAAACCCTTTTCTTTGTTTTGCTGTTTACAGTCATTGTAATACAAGAAATTCCATCCATACACTTTTATAGATGTGCATCATACTTACATTGGTCAGTCTAATCTAAAGACCTACATGAAGCTCCTTTGTGAAGCTTTTAAGTTTATATTTTGATGTATGGTAATGGTGCCATGGCAAGTTTTGAGGTTTAAAGCTGATGTTGTTCCACTGCTGCATATTTTGCGCCACATCATATCATCTGTAGTAATACTGGTATATATTTTTACATGATGTAAAGTGTCATGGGTTTACTGTCCCATTGCGCACATGACACGATCCCCGGCATCTCTGAGAGCGATGGCCTCCATTGCATCAGCCTCTGGTGATGACCAAGTACCTAAAAAGAGGGCTTCTACAACAACGTCAAACAATGCAAGAAAGCTGTTCCTGCTAACGGTGGAAACAACAAACTTGTTTCGGCACCCAGGCAAAAAAAAGATGATCAGACCACGAAGGCAGCTGAGAAATACAAGCAGCTAGTCATGTGTGGCCCAAAAATAAACAAATGGCTCCGCCAAGGATTGCTGGAGCACTCTCTAGTTACACTCCATATACCAGGAAGAGCAAACAGTGGGTTGAAATTACATGGTGGAAAAGGAGAACTTTAAGGAACTGGTTTAAACCCCCCCAAAAACAACTCAACCCAAGATGCAATATCCTAAGAAGACAAAATTTTGAACCTTTTAATTTTATTATGTGACAGTATAGTGGAGGCTTATGAGTGTAGTGGCATACCTAACAAGAAAAAGATCCCCGGTTCAGTGCCTGTTCAATTGCTTTGGGGGTTATGTCAGAAAAAGCATCCATTGTAAAAATCTGCTAAATCAGACAAGTGGAGCTACCCATGACGGCGAGCCCTTGTGAATAACAGAGCAGCCGAATGTAGCTTTCATTGTGGAGGCTCCTGAATAGTTGGAAGGTTGTTACTTTAGTTATTGCAAGCACTTAAATTTATGTATAAAGACTGGCAATTGTAACTAAATTGCCTGAAAAAGACTTGGCCTAAGCCTCATAACAATCTCTCACACTGCTTGAATCCGCTACTGTGAATAATGCTGTAAGAAGGGGGAAAAGGAGCTCCTTGGTGTTTTGTTCTTATTTGATGTGTGATGTGTCACTGTATATAATGCTAAGTCACTACTTAAACGGTGTAATGCTGCTCCTGCTACTGCTGACACATTGTGCCTATAGATTCACATTAAATGAAGTCTGTCATCAGTGACAGTCGCCCATTAGAAAAGGATGGAAAAAGCACGTAATTTTGTTTGCTGTAATTGATGCTGCTGCCCGCAAGCTGCCATCACCAATAAAATCTTCTTTCGTATTATTTTTTTCTGTATTGTCGTAAATATAATTATCACAAATTTCCTTGAAATATTTCAATATTGAAATATTGTATTTCCTTAAAGTATTGTATATCACTTGCCCATATGTAACTCTATATAATGCAGATAAAACTGTTATTATGAATTCATACCCTGTGATTTCTGGACTCTGCTTTTTGGATGCCATGTGGGGTGGAGTGCTAAATTATAAGCTAGCACTAGCAAATTACATTCATAAACTTTACAGACGAATAAAGTACTGGAATTTCATTTACCAGAACTGAAGCACAACAAAAGGCACCAACACCACAAACACTGCTGAGAAGTTCAGTTTAGCGAACACAGGTGCAGCATCGATTCGCTGCATCTCCGTCTGTTAGGACATCTGTCAATAACTTCAGATTCCAGATGGATGGAAAAGAATTCACCCACCGTGTAGTGTTGTGAAGGGGAAAACTATACACCTGGACTATCTGTATTATCCATAAAGGCCAAAATGTTTTTGTACCAGGCTTTAAACGTTCTTTTTAATGTTGTAAAGTTTGAAATTTTAACAAACTTTGCTCAATTTTGAAGCCACCCTCAAGTGGCCATTAGAAAAACTGCAATTTTTGGCACTCGAGTGTGTGTGTGTGTGTATGTGTGTGTGGTTACTGTTCTGCACACTGTAAAAACCAAAGCTTTTCTGTATACCATCATGAATGATATGGAGTAAGGTGCAATGACTGCCTCTGCTCTTTCCTTTTTTTGTATCGGCGTGTTTGCTCACGAGGAGGGTGACATATGTGCCTTTGTATCTCCGTCAACTCAGCAAATCGAATCACATGATGCCCACATCCTCCTAGACTTGTGGGAGAAAAGTGTGATGATGTAGCTGAGTGGAATTACTTGGCAAACCTCAGACGCAGCAGGGCTGTCGGGGCAGGTGAGAGGAGCGAGTCGTTTTCTTCAAATTATTTCCAGTGCAGCATAAAGAGCAGCTGTGTTTGGTATAATCACATTTCTGGCTTTGGGACTGAGACGTGCCTGACTGTAAGTCATTTTCTGGTCTTTGTTATTTTATAAGAGAGAGGATTAATGGGTTGAGGGAGTTGTGGGTAAAATCCCTCTAACAGGTGGTGCATTAGGAAGTAGCCAATATATTGGTATAGTAGCCATTTATTCTGCTACAAACTGGTCAAATGTGTGCAGCTCACGAGCAGGATGTATTGTGTGTCTCAAGTTCTCAAAAAAAAAGTAATGAAAACATTGGAGCCTGTGAGGGATTCTGTCTTTATTTTTAAAAGCACAATAAACATGGATGCATTCCTTTTCTGCTTCTCTCATCCTCCCTTTTTTTCCCCTTTCAATAACCTCATGGATTTTCTGTCCTCATCTGCTTTCCATTCTCACCTCATCCTCATCATTTTCCTCTCACCCCCCCTACCTTCATCACCACCTACTCTCCAGTCCCCTCACTTACCACTTGTCCTTGCATCGTCCTCCGCCGCACCGCCGCCGCCGCCACCTCCTCCTCCTCCTCCTCCTCGTTAGCTCAAGGGTCTTATTCAGCCTCCAGTGTGTGTGCAGAGAGTCTGGGAAAAGAGAGGGCATAAACAACACAGGCAAACAAACCACCTGCTTCCTGTTGAGGTCTCGTGTTGTTAAATGTGCGGACAGAAATAGAAATGGGCAACCTTGCAGCAGAATTAGAAAAGATGGAACGGACAGTGGGAGGAAAATCACAGACCTGCACAGCAGTTAAACACCACGCTTCCCTGCATACCCTCTGGATTCCAGAGAAAGAAGGCTCAATCACACCTGAGGACGTATGGTAATGGGGTGACAGGAACTAATTGGAGCTGAAGAAAGTAATTGATTAATTGACTGAGTTACAAAATTAATCTCCAGCTGAAGTGGCCCAAATTCAGTCTTCTTTGTGATTATACGTGAATCTTCCTCATACCGTACAACAAGAGCTGTCTTTGCTTCCACCCACACTAAATCTAATTTGTTTTGACCAAAAATATTTATTCATAAGTTATGTCAAATACAAACAAAGAAGAAAATCTTGGCATCTTAGAAGAAAGACACGAAGATTTTTGCCTTGATTTAACAGCTGTAATCATCATTAAAGCTGCTGCTCATTCATTTTCTGAAATTTGTTGATTTCCTAAGTGTTTCAGATTTCCAAACATTACATTAGCAAGCATTACATTTGGTTAAATATTTCTTTTTCACGCAGATTTACAGCTTTTCCGTCTATTATTGTAAAAATGAATATTTCCAAAATTTCAAGGAACCCAAGCACATTGAGAGAAAAATGTCAGATCCTCACATTTAGGGAGATGAGAACGTCTGCTTGGATAAACAATTGTAACCGTGTAGTCCAAATATGTTATATTTATTTATTTAATTTTTTTCAGTAAAAGGTATTAAAATCAACGGTGCAGTTCATTATTTTATCACTTGTTGTCATATTATTATCCTCTTGCTTAATAGATTAAAAAGTGATTAAAAAGAGAGGGACTTGACATTATCAAATTTTAAAAAACAAACAACCAAACTGACTTAATGTTAAAAGGGAACTGTTCTACTAATAATAGTACTATTAATCCTTATTTTTTTACTACACCAGGCCTTTGTGCAGCTCCTTAAATCAGCCACTGCACAAAAGC